CCCCGCCCCCCCCCCCCCCCCCCCCCCCCCCGCCCCGCTCCAAAATATGCGGTGGGGGCTGTCCCGCCTGCAGCACGGCGGAGTGGGCAGGCACCGATCCCACGCCGTGTCCTGCTCCTGGCTTATGTTTTCCAGCCGCGATGACGTTATCGGGAAGGTCTGCATCACCCGGGACATGCTGGCGGAGCACCCCAAGGGTAGGGGGACGGGTGGCCGGGAGGGTCCCAGCAGGGACCCATCTCCCCACCTTGCGATGAACCGGTCCTGAGGGCCCTCCCAGTGACCCCCCCATGAAGATGCCCCCTTTTCCCACAGGCTACAGCGGCTGGGGGGGGCCCAACGGGCGGGGACCCGACGCGGAGGTCCACCTGCGGGTGGAGGTCCAGGAGAGCCAGGGTGGCCGGCGGCTGCTGTGCTGCACCGTGCTGGAGGCCAGGTGAGGAGGGGACACGGGGGTGGCAGGGGGCTGCGTGTGCAGCTGGGACACAGGCGATGTGTCCTGGCTGCTCCGTGACTCAGTTTCCCCACTGCATCAGGGTCTTCTCAGTTATCCTCCCTTGGGGGCAGAGCATCCTCCCCACTGCAGCTGATGGGGGACCTGGGGCAGGGTCCACCTCGTCTGCTGGTCTTTAGGGTGCGCATCTCGAGATGCTGGGGAACTGAGGAGGGGAGTGGGTGCCGTGGGTGCCCATTAGGTATTTTGGGAGGATACTGGCAAATTCCCCTTCTTCTCGACAGGGATTTGGCCAGGAAGGACCGGAACGGCGCCTCCGACCCCTTTGTTCGCTTGCGCTACAACGGGAAGGCGCAGGAGAGCACTGTGAGTACGACTTCAGTTTATTGTGACCCACCAACCTGACGGCGGTGAAGGTGGAATCATCCCACTGGGTAGCCCGGACCTTGGCCAGGAGCCAGCCCTGTCCCCTGGCATCCCCAACTTGGTGTCCCCGGAGGGATGTCGGATCCACCCGGCGAGGGTGGATGAAGCCGTTGCCTTTGCAGGTGGTCAAGAAGTCCTGCTACCCCCGCTGGAACGAGACCTTCGAGTCTGAGCTGGCTGAGCCCGCCGGGGAGAAGCTGTGCGTGGAGGTGTGGGACTGGGACCTCGTTGGCAGGAATGACTTCCTGGGCAAGGTGAGACCCCAAACCCCGTCACCGCTGCTCGGGGGGGAGAGGGGGGGCCCTCCTGGCTGCCCACCCGACCTCCTCCCGCCTTCCCCTCCCAGGTGGTGTTCAGCGTCCAGGGGCTGGAGGTGGCCGGGCAGGAGGAGGGCTGGTTCAGGCTGCGGCCGGACAAGTCCAAGCCGAGGGATGATGAGTGAGTGTCAGCACGGGGGTGTTGGGGTGTGCCAGGGGAGGTCCCGGTGCCCACAGGGGCATTGGGGAGGGGGTTATTCCTGGGAAGCAGCATCCCTTTGGAGGGGCAGCTCCTGGAAATGCCCTTGTCTTGGAGCGGGGACAAGTGCAGGGCAGCCCCACCTGCCTGCCCAGGCTTTCCCGGGCTGTCGGGCCACCTCCTCCTTGGTGAAGTGTTTCTCCATCCCTCCATCCACCCACCCTGTGCTCCTGCAGGCGCCGAGGCAGCCTGGGCTCGCTGCAGCTGCAGGTGAGGCTGCGGGACGAGACGGTGCTGCCCTCCCACTGCTACCAGCCCCTGGTCCAGCTCCTGTGCCAGGAGGTGAAGTCGGGGCGCCAGGTAAGGGGTCCATGCGAAGCCCTGTCGGGGCACCCACCTTCCTCCAGCTCTCTGCCGGGGGACGTGTCTCCCTCGGGCCATCACGTCGTGGTGCCTCTCCCCACCAGGATGGCCAAGTGCACCTGGTCACCCTCCTGGATGAAACCACCACGGCCGAGTGCCGGCAGGAGGTCGCCATCAACTTGGTCAAACTCTTCCTGGGCCAAGGGCTGGTCAAGGAGTTCCTGGACCTGCTCTTCGAGCTGGAGCTGGCCAAGCCCTGTAAGGCTGGAGCGGGGAGTGGAGCCGGAGGCTTCCAACCATCTCCTGGGGCTGCAAAACCTCCAGGACCTTCCGTGGTGATTTTTTTGGGGGGGTGACGGTTGAGGTTCAGCCATCGCGCTGTGCTCTGGGTGGGAACCTGCTGGGTTCATCCCGAGCAACTCATGGGCTGAGGTTGGTGGAGGAGGAGGTGGTTTGAGGTTAGGAAATCCCCGTAACTCCCATGGAAATGGCCAGGGGTGGAGGGCACGGCCCCAAAAATGCCCCCCCCCATGATTGCAGCTGCCCGGTGGGTGACCTGTTGCCATCCCCCAGGCCACAGACTCTCTCCTGTTTTACAGGCGAGCCCAACACTTTGTTCCGGAGCAACTCCCTGGCCTCGAAGTCAATGGAGTCCTTCCTCAAGGTGCCATATTGCCCAAAACCTGCTCTTCCCAGGTCACCCTGGCTCTGGGTTGTCCCCACTGGGGCCGGTTCCCAGGGGGAGTACTGGGAGGGCTGGTGGGGCTGTGTCTTCCCCCGGGGCCAGAAGGTTGGAAAAAATCCCCTGGGTGACCCTTATCGGCGAGTCTGGGGGTGTCGGGTGCCAAACCTGTGGCCGTGCCCCCCATCACCATCCCCTGCGTGGTCCCTGGGCAGGTGACGGGGATGCCATACCTGCACGCTGTCCTGGGACCCACCATTACCCGCGTGTTCGAGGAGAAGAAGCACGTGGAGCTGGACCCGGGCAAGGTGGAGGTCAAAGACGTCGGGTAAGGGGAGCAGGGGGCGGTGGGTTGATCTTATCCACCACCACTGTTATTTCAATAACCTTGAATATCCCCCGCGCAGCCTTTTCCTCTCTGAACAGAAGCGACCCCAACTTTATATTTATTCTCTCTCCATAAGGCAGCTTCTTCTTTCCATCACCAGTGTGAATTGTCCTTCGCTGTATCTTTTTTTAGCTCTGCTTTTTCTTTTTTTTTTTTTTTTTTTTTTTTTCTTCTGTTGGTTTTGTCTATTTTTTT